AGGAGTTTATATGAATGTATGTCTGAGGGGAACTTACTGTCTTTAGAAAAGTTTAGATGGTATTTTTTCTTTTCATCTTGCCTCTGTATAATGCATATTAAAGTTCATAAGTGCAACGCTCCTTTGTTTACAGCGGAGACCAAGGAAGGGTTTAACATAAATGAAACAGGTCAGATTTCTGTAATGGTACTAATAAACTGAATGCATTTTAAATACACAATAACCAGGTTTATATATTTATGATCAATAAAGTTTGAATCTCAGTATTTCATTATTGCAATTGACAATTGGTTGTTTCACAGCTAGCCATATTTGAACCATGTTCATACTTTTAACTGAATAATTTTGGGTTACACTTTATTTTAAGGTGTCCTTGTTACAGTGTATACATTTAAGTACTGAGTAATATTAATTAACTACATGTACTTACTATATGGTTAGGATTAGGGTTTGGCTTAGGGTTACTTGCTTGTAATTATGCATAATTAATTGTTATTACAATAGTAAGTACATGTAACGTGTAACAAGGACACCTTAAAATAAAGTGTTACCTAATTATGTTTTCACAGTGAACAGATGTATGCTGATTCTAAGAAATTAGTTTGGTAACACTTTCTGTGAAGCCTGTATTTATAATGCATTATAAGGGTATTCTTAAAGGGGTCATATGATGCAATTTCAAGTTTTCCTTTCTCTTTGGAGTGTTACAAGCTGTTCGTGAATAGATGAGATCCCTAAAGTTGCAAAGACTAAAGTCTCAAACCCAAAGAGATATTCTTTATAAAAGTTAAGACTCGTCCACGCCCAAATAATGTTCTTTTTTAGCAACGTCATATGACCCCTTTAATGCATTATATAATGCATACATAATGCCTTATAAACAACCTTATAATATGTTGTATCATCTGATAAATAATCATAACAACAGTTACAATGCATTATAATAATTATAATGCATTAAGAATACCCTTATGATGCATTATAAATGCAGGCTTCATCAGGTGACATAATGCATTATACTGTTAAAAGTTATAACCACAAATAGGTAAGTATTACAATGTATTGTAACTGTTGTTATGAATATTTATCAGATGATACAACATGTTATAAGGTTGTTTATAATGCATTAAGAATACCGTTATAATACAGGCTTCATAGAAAGTGTTACCATTTGTTTAAATGCATTTTGGAAAATATGATTATTTAAATAAAATCAGATGGTCAAATAATCTATGCCATGATTTTGAGGACGGAATTATTACTTGTTTTAGGTTAAAACTGTGTAACCCAAATTGATCGGCATTTTACATGCAATTCAAATACATAAATCTTAAATTTAGGCCTAAATATTTTTTTTCGAGTGTGTGTCACATGACCTTTAGGTTTAAACGACATAGCCACAGTCTGTTTGCTGGCTGTCTGAACACAAAACTCGACAGCACTTCCTCTAATCTGATTCGTTGGCTTACTTTTGAGAAAGAACTAGTCTAATCACTGAGTTTGCAAACGCTTACGAGGTCATTAACATCTCATTTTTGAGTTTGACGTTGCAGCCACTTGGGAACAATTAAACCATGTATCCATGAGCAGAACTATATATTTCGCTCTTTTTTTGTGAAATAATCAGTGCGTATCACTTTTGGAAGTCTTTACACATTCTATTGTTTTCTGTGTGATTATAACACAGTCTCTCTGTGTATGTTAATGTGGTTCTGATGACTTTGTTCAGATCACAGCGGCACCACATGTGACTAATCATTTTTATGTCACATTCGTATAAATCAGCGGTTACAGACTCTCTGCTACTGAATCTGTGTAAATCAGCGGTTTGCTTCCTGACTCAGCCCAAATTCCCCAGAGGACTGGAGGGTGACAGCGAGCTTGTGTTATACAGAGATTAGAAGTGTCATTATACGCTTGTGTGTGAACGCAGCAGAGTGTGGTTTCAGTGAACCCTGCTCAAAGCGTCCAGTGTAGTAGCAGCACAGCAGAGCCTTTCATGCAGTCGAGATGTAAACACTGCGCCTTACGCTGCCTCTTCGTATGACTTTTTCTGTTGGTGGAGGGAGGAAGGTTCAGAGAAGTGCTCTAGTCTTGGCCCTTCTGTTCAGCTGGTCAAGAGAAGACTCCCTTAGAAAGATTTATTTACTTCTGCTGCTTGAGATCCTGATAATCGGAGAACTGTCACTTGTGCAAAGACAGATAAAACACAGACGCCAGCATCACTTTTAAATCCCCTGCATGTGCTTCACACTCTAGAACCAAAAAGACTACAGAGTTCCGCTTTCTATTTCAGTTCACTGGTGTTTTAAAGTGCCCTTTTATGCCTAAGGTGGCTAATATTGTTTTGGGAGTCTCCTAGAATAGGTTTACATGCATGCAAGGTCAAACAATGCTTTTGTTTTCTCAAAATAGGCATTTAATATCACCTAATTTTCTAACGATTCGTTCAAAGCAGTTCTAAGATTCAGAAATATGAAGCAGCTCAACTTTTTTCAACATTGATAATAATCAGAAATGTTTCTTGAGCAGCAAATTAGCATATTAGAATGATTTCTGAAGATCATGTGACACTGAAGACTGGAGTAATGATGCTGAAAATTCAGCTTTGATCACAGAAATAAATTATATTCTATATATTTAAATAGAAAAGAGATATTTTAAATTGTAATAATATTTCACAAATTTTTCTGATTTATAAATGCAGTTACTAAATGCAGCCTTGGTGAGCAGAAGAGACTAATTTCACAAACATTAAAAAAATATTTTCAAAAATAAAACTTTTGAACAGTACTGTGCTTGTGGTATTTACATTTATAATAAAGTTACTCATAATGACTGATTATGACTTGTTTGTTTATTTTGTACAGCCTGAAACTGAACTCGGTGAAACCCACAAATCCTCCCGTAATTTGCTCTTGATAAGAAGAACGTTCTTCTAAACCTAAGAGCCATTAAAGAGCTTTTAGCTAAGGCAAGCATCACTATCACTCATTCAAAACACCCTAGCAACCACCCAGAACTCCTTAGCAACTATTAAGCAGTGTCCTGAAAACCAGCTCAAACATAGTAGCACACACACACACACACATTTCACATACATTCACTTAGTACACCACTACTTATGCATTCAAAATTGAATATAGAAAAACACTGCAGGGTTATATGAGAGACTTTGCCTGGCATAATAGTCAGTTATTCAATTTACCAAAATATCTGACAACAAAAGACTACGAAAGACCAATCGGAGTAAAGTACTCCAGAAAGCTTTGTAATAAAGTTATTTCTCTTGAACTGAAAATTCACAGTTTTCCTTCAAAGCCCTGATTGTTCTTACAGTCACTGCAGCTGCCCAATGTTTTCTTCTGTCCGTCTCATGTGGACGGACGTCCTGCTTGCGTAGGCTTATTAAACAAACCGTTGAGCCTCTGTAATCCCTGGCTTCTGTTCAATGCTCAGGCTCCGTTTAGAGCTTCAGGCCTTCATCTCCTAAATTTAAAAAAAAAAAATTCCCCCATATATTTCAATCCAAGAAAATGCATTATTATATTATATTATATTATATTTGAAGAAGAACTTTATTTGTTGTCTATAACACGTTAACATGTATATAACATAAACTCTAGGCTATTCCATCCACATTTATATTGTATTTTGTGTATGAAGATTCAAACTAAATAGATTTTAGATTTTCACTGAGCTTCACTGTTTACAACCTATATTTAGCATATATTTCAAATATATTTTGGCCAAAAAAAAAAAAAAAAAATTTAAATATGGGAAACATGCTGTTGCACACATGGTTTTCGGCACACTCGCAGTGTGTGTGTGTGTGTGTGTGTGTGTGTGTGTGTGCGCGTACGGGGCCTGTCAAAGCACATGACGTTCACACATGGTTTGGAGTACTGTGTGAGTGTTAGGCTACTGGGTTCACTCAGGAACCATATGGAGCGGGTCTGTATACCTCGGCTGACCCTCGCGTGACGGCCTGGCCCCAGAGGTGTGTCCCACTATTGTTTCATCACACTCTCAGTGTACACACTACGCCTCGACGCGCCCCACGAGCACGTAAAAAGTGACATCATTGCAGCAGTGCACAATGATTTACACAGTGAAAGTCTGAAATAGTTTAAATGCCTTGAGTGCCATCAGCTGTGTGAGAAATATGCAGACCCTTGAGAAATGCACTTTAGCATACTTTTAAAAAGAGTACTTAAATAATACTTAAAAAGAATATGAACTGAATGGTTTCGGACACTTAATTGCATGTTACTTTCAATTAAAAGTATTTTAGTACAAAAAGCAGAATTTTAGAGTGACGAAATGTATTTTAGAGTAATGTCATGTCTATTAAAACTCTTACGTCGTGTATTTTAAATGTATTTGTCAATTACACAATTTGTAATAATGACATAACTACATTTAAAATATATTAACCTGTGTAATATGTAATTAACTTAAATGTAATACGAAATAATGGACTACAGTTAAAATTATAATCAAGTACTTTAGTATGTTAGTCAACACATCAAAATAAGTGTACTTCTTTAAAGCACGACAAAAGATTATTAAAACATAATGATTTCAAATGTACTTTAAAGTAATACATTATTACAAAGTGCACTTTTTAAAAACGGACTTAAGTGTGTTATGAAAGTGTCTCTTTTTAAGCAAATTTTCATTTTATTAATATGATATTTTCTGCAAGTGCAGTTTTTTAAAGATATACTTTAAAGATTTGAAGTACACTACAAGTGCACATTCAGTACGATTATGCACACTTCTTTTTCACAAGAGGAGTTTCCTGCAACTTCTCCCCTGCTGAGCCAGTTTAGACTTAATGTTGACATTAAACTTCATCCAATGGGTTATTACTATATATACAAACTAGATAATGGTGTACAGGACTGGCAGAGGGATGGGATTCTCTGTACATACTGGACCTCCACACATGCAAAGTGTCCTAGCGGGTCAGTAACGCTGCCCACTCTTTGTTCCAGATGTCATCTCTCCAACACATTACAACCCGTACTTCAGGAGGCTCAGGTTTGACGTGAGCTCCATAGAGAAGAACGCCTCGAACCTGGTGAAGGCAGAGCTCAGGATCTTCAGGCTGCAGAACCCAAAGGCCCGTGTGTCTGAGCAGCGCATTGAGCTTTACCAGGTCAGTCCTCTCCTCTCCATCAGCCCTCCATCCACTCATTCAACTCCATGAACAAGTCTGTCGACTCGGTACTTGCATGCACACTTTAGCTGTTTTCACACTCGGTTCGCTTCCTTGGTGTCCTTGTAGATCTCTTTTCACAGTTTTCTATTTGGGTCCAAACTGCTTTATATGTTTACGTCTTCAAAATAGCTTAAATAGCTAATATCATGCACTAGGTAATTATTCAAGAGGACCACATGTCAGTTCCAGTGTTGTTTTTAATTGATTTAATTTGCCAAAAATGTACGTAATAATCAGCCATATTACAGTAAATGGGCGTAGCGTCTGGGTATGCACGTGCATATGGGGCCGGGCTGATTGGGGGCCCGCCAAGGGGGACCTTTCAATTAAAACGAGAGAATGTATTCTCAATTCGTGGCCACAATAAATATATATATAAATAATTTTTTTTTTGTCTGCATGTCATGTGCAGGGCTTGGTATTTCTTGCGTGCATTTGTTATAATGCTGCTGTAGAACTGCGTCTTTTTTTTTTGCGTCTTTCTTTCTTTCTTTCTTTCTTTCGGCCCGCTGTGCCAAGAGTGTTTGCATTAAGTAATTTAGTAATTATGGCAGCATTTTAGTGCCATAATATTTATAGAATAAAGTCAAAATTACGAGATTAAAGTTGTATTATATTGCGTGAATAAAGTTAATTTAAAAATTAAAAAAAAGTCTGTGGCGGTTAACTGACTGATGACTGATTATGAAAATAATAAAACAATGTTGGCAAAGTTATGCAAGTTACTAAACACTGTATAGCTGATGTACAGCTGTGAAACTCTATGTCAAACCTGGAAGACTTTGGTCGTGTAATGTAGAGGTCTGCGAACCGCGGGACCCGACCAGATTTTTTGCGCCACGGGATTAAATTCCCGAATAAAATGCGTAGCGGTCGGTAACTCTGGTGTAATTTGAACGGGAGCATGCGGTCTAACAATATCCCGTTCCCGACGTCCATTTAGAACAGCATATCTGCGCTTTATTCTTATTGACCACCGGTACAGCTTGCGCTCAGGACTGTTATGCACGCGCTGCACGCATGCTTTAAACGTCACGCGTTTTATTTGCATGGTCTGTGCGCAGCATGTGCATAACGATGCTCAGAGCAGGCTGTACCGGTGGTAAATATACGGCCCTCAGACATGAGTGACAGAGCAGAATGGAGCAAAGTGTGGATGCGCTGTCCTTGAAGGACGTTCAACTCGGTTTTGTTTATATTTTGCTTAGCCTATAATTTTAAATGACAGATGTTACAGAACAGGCAGGTTGTCGATGAGTGACAGAGCAGAATAAGGATGGAGCAAAGTGTGGATGTGCTGTCCTTTAAGGATGTTCAACTCGGTTTTGTTTATATTTTGCTTAGCCTATAATTTTAAATGACCGATGTCGTATTTATTTATTTATTTTTCTCTGCGACACTTTACTGTGTTAACAGAAAAATGTCAAACAAATTTAGTATTTTGACAAGACGAATGAAAATAGCTAATAGGCTATTTTTGTACAACCTACATTTACATTTTTTTTTCTCTCTGCGACACTTTTTCCCGATTGTGTTGTCAATGTTAAACGAATTGCATCCTGACAAGACGAATAAAAATAAGAAATGCAATTTTTATACAACATTTTTATTTTCTCTGACACTTTTTTTCCCGACTGTGTTGCATAAAATATTAAACGAATTTTGTGTCTTAAGATAATTCATATAAATTCAAGTCAAAGTCAATAAATTCAAGACTCTTGACAAGACGAATAAAATAACATACAATTTTGTGCAGAATACACTTTTATTTGTCAGCCTATCTCTCTTTCTTTCAGTAGCGGAAATTTAAATGTGAGATTCTGGAAATGAGATCTAAATTTAGCGGGAACGGTCGGGTCGGGAAGAAAATTATTCTAAGCGGACAGCGAGTGAACAAAGAGTGAATATATAGCGGGAGCGGAATAGAACCTTGCGGGAGCGGGACAAAAAAAACAGTCCCGCGCAGACCTCTAGTGTAATGTCATTGCTGTCTTCATGTTATTAATGTTTGTTCATGTAATGCAGGGATTCCCAAACATTTTTGAAAGCCAAATCAAATATTTACTTGAAATAACTCTGAAGTTAATATTTCAAATAATTTAACAACACATTCACATGTTTACAGTTCTGTGATGTTGGTTAATGGACACGTTATGTAAACAAATCAAATATTTAGATTAGTTTTATTTTACATTTTTTATGATTTAATTAATTATTCACTTTTTATCAACTTCCCAAACCCACTGTTCTTACGTTAAACCCAGTTTGGGAAACCCCGGTTTAATAAAATGTTAATGCATTGGAATATATTTTCTTTCTCTTTGCTTTTTTATATCAAAATGGTATGTTTAATGGTAAGTTTAAAACAGGTAAAATAAAAAGTAATCTAAAAGTAATCTAAGAAGTAGTCAGAGTACATTGCCTAAAATGATTAATCTAGATTACGTTACTAACGTTACAGTTTTCATCATGTAATCTGTAATCAGTAATCTGTAAGTAATCTACCCAGCTCTGAGGGTAGATTCAGTAAGTCAGTAAGTTTTAGTGCAATGCGATATCATTAGCTAGCATTTTCAGGAAAAGATGACTGGAACACAACACAAGGGTTTAGTCTTCTGAACTTTGAATGTGTCTGCAAACAATACCAGATTTAACTACTAAAGTAACCCAGGCCACTTGGACTCAGTTGTGGTTCACTAATATGCACTCAAGTTCAGAAAACCGTCTTCACACCAACCGAACAAACCAAACTGTGACGTCAAACAGACTTGAGTACGCGGTGTGAAAGCGCCCAAACATGCACTTTTTAACTTCTCTTCTCCTCCTTCTCTGTCCTCGTATGTTCGTTTATTTATCTTAAGGGTGCTGTAGGGCTCGGGCCCATCGATCAGCGGGGTTTTATGTGTGTGTGGAGAGACGTGAGTGTGGAATGCTGTTTGGTGATTTAGAGATCGGAGGGTCTCGAGGGCTAAATAAAATCCCAGCACTGTCGAGGTCCGCGCTCCCCGCCTCCCACCTGCCTCTCCGTTTAACCTCGCTCCCCTCCTCTCTGTTCATGTGTCCGGTCCGTCATGACAGGTGCAGTAAACACTGGCCCACTAACACAGAGATGGTGAATGTCTTAGGGAGGGTTTAAAAGGCGTTTGCAGGGAAGGGAGAGATTGATCGGCTTCCATTTGTATTACTCATGTTGAAGATCCTGTTGTAACTGGTCAGGTTCATACAGTCGATATAATTAAAGTGAACTTCAGTACTGATAATATAGTGCAATATGTGACCCTGGACCACAAAACCAGTCATAAGGGCCAATTTTTGAAATTGAGATTTATACATCAGCTGAAAGCTAAATAAATAAGTTTTCCATTGATGTATGGTTTGTTATGATAGGACAATATTTGGCCGAGATACAACTATTTGAAAATATTAAATCTGAGGGTGCAAAAAAATCTAAATACTGAGAAAATCGCCTTTAAAGTTGTCCAAATTAAGTTCTTAGCAATGCATATTACTAA